GGAAATTCAAATAAATTCTCAATTCTGGTTCACACACTGGAACCGGGATAAAGACTAGAAAACAGGCCTTGATTCTGTTCGTGGTCATCATCATCATAATTGTTTTATGATTATTTTCAACACTCTGACAATTCTCATGGATTCTCATTATCATTTCAATAATCAAAATGATAATGAGAATCGTTATTTATCATCGATAAATTGATTGAATAATTAGCATCGATGATGACGAAAAAGTCTAAAATTTCCATATTTCCGAGTTTTTTTTCTTGCTACCAATTCAAAATTCCCATCGACGATAATAATGATGATGATTTCCAATGAAGATGATGGTAATTTATGCGCAAATGTTGTCCGACGATATTTTTTTTTTTTTCGTTTTTACTTGGCTTTACTTTACTTTTCAGAGATGGATTTGTCTTTTTTTTCTGGCCATCAACATCCTAAGCATGTAGTGCTGGCCACTTTGAGATTTTCAAATCGAAGCAATCTCAGTATCGATGATTTATTCATTTCAATTTCTCCTTCAGGGGTTATTGATGATGATGATGATGATGGCCATGGAAAATGTTTGGTTGATTTTTTGTTGTTACTGTCGGTCATTATCATCGGTCATCATTGAATTTTGACTTTATCTACATTAAATAATATTACCACACACTTTATATACACGGAATAAAGATGATCTGGTTTTTCTTCTTCTTCTTTTTCTACTTTTTTTCGGATGATGCAAAATAATGATTGCTGGATGATGATGATGATCAATCCAGCATCAATGGAAAAAAACACAGAGTGAATGGAACGAATATCAATTACTATTGAATGAAACCAGCTCAAGTAAACTCAGGTAGCAATGTTGTGCAAAATAGTAGTTTTTTTGGCATCCAAAACTACTAATAACATATCTACTCTACAGATAGACCTACCTTTTCATCATCACCATCATTGTCAGGTCGTGTTGCTGAAAAAGTCAATTCATTTCTTTTCAGATTTTTTCTTTCACTGATAGATCTCCGATGATGATGATGATGATGATGGTTTAATGTTATCTGGCCCTGTTTTTAGTTGAGAGCGGGTTAATTAAAATATTTTCTATATCTCGACTACATGATGCACGCTAACCTATTCCACTGTTACCATTGCATACATTTTTACCATAATGAAAATGGAAACTGTGAAGCAAAAAAAAAACAGTAAAACGAAATAATAGCCGGCCGAAATAATATCATCACCATTGTTTGACCATTTGATTTGATTTTGTTTTCACACCCAACTCTCATTTCAAATTTGGTTTTTGGGTTTTTATTTTTTTTGGTTAATTTTAAATCATGTAAATATAAATCCTGTTGATGATGAAACCGAACAAATCTTCATCAATTTTTTTTTTGCTTTTGTCCGGTTTTTTATGCACAATTCGTGTTTCAATCATTACGACGACACTGGATTTGGATTTGGTTTTTTCTTCTTACCGGGCTTTATTCGTGTGTAAATCGTGTATATGTCATTGATGTGCATGAATGTTGATGATGTGGGTTTTTTTTATTGCTGACAGAAAAATCTTTGGCAAACCCTTTCGAAATGATGATGTATGCACACTATTTGCAGATGAAAAATTTTTCTCGAACACCAGAAAAAAAGTTTCAAGTTTAGATGACTAAACTCTAGGTAGTGGATACAAATTTTCCAAAAACTTATCATCGATTGAGTTATTGATTTTTGAAAAAATGAGATTTGAAAAGGTCCAACAAATGATTCTTTTTTTTCACCGTGCCACATTTTATTATTAGCTGTTTTTTATGCTTTTCCATTTTCATTCATTCATTTATCATTCATTATTATTATTATTATTGGCTACTGGCATTCAATTCAAAATGAATAAAAAAACGATGTTGTTGTTATTGTCCATTCCATGTAAATGTGTCTGTGTGGAACAACAACGATAATCGTAGAAATAATAATAAAATGAAAACGAAATATTATGATAAATATTGAGATTTATACGAAACATCAATATTCAGCTTGTAATGGTGGTAGTAGAAAAAAAAATAACAGCAAAGAAAAAAATCCTGATGCCGATCCAAAGCATCCATTTAACGAACAATGTATTTGATGTGTGTGTGTGTGTGTGTGTATTCAGACGATTCATTTTTTTTCGGTGTGGTATACATTTAGTGAATGAAAAAAAAAAATGTAATTATATCGTATCGAAAACAACAACAAATGAATGTGGCCCGTTTTTTTCAAAATGTAGCTCGCGTGGCCATTTCATTTTCTTGTTGTTGTTGTTGTTTTTTTGTGTCTCGTTTAACGTTTATTCATCATCATCATCATCATCATCATGGACATCATTAAACCGATTCACTGGTAGTAATATGTTTTTCGAATAGCGCAAAAATATTTGCTCTTTAAATCCCTATAAATAATGTGATTTGTATTTTCACAACGATCATAACGAGGCTGCACGAGTTTATTATCCAGAAATCTTTCAAGTTTCTTGAATATAAAATTTTGCCAATGAAACAAAAAAGCCAACAACACAAGCGATTATGATTCAAAAAAATACTTATTTTCTTTCCACCATCATTGATGGTTGACAAATCCAAACAAAACAAACAACAACAAAATTAGATTTATCCATTTTTAGTGTCGTTTTTTAGTGCGTTGATTTTCTTATTGCTTGTTTGTGAAAGATAAAAAAAAAGTTTTTGTTTCTGGAACTTTGTAGGTGTGTGTGTGTGTGTGGTGTTTTGTTTATGCATAAAATTACTATATATCACCATTTCCATTTATTCACAATTCAAGATAGGAAAAATTTGAAAATTCTGAATAAAATCGCCATTAAGATCATCATTATTATTATTATGGACAATCAAAATGTTCCATTTGGAACACACATGCATATATTGTTTGTTGATTCTGTCACTGATTTTTTTTACAACTTTAAATCTTAGAGAGAGAGAGAAAGAAAGAGAGATTATCTTCATAAAGAATATATAAGATGGAGTGTAATGTTTTGACATTTCGAAAGCGAATTGAATTTATAGATGACAACAGTGACCGGATTTAGATTTGTATTTCGAAGTAACAAAAAGCAAACAAACACACAATTTTTTATTTTGTTTATTTTTATGATTTAAGATTTTATTTTCATTTTGTCCATTCATTATATGGAGATTTTTTTTCGTTTTTTTCCATCATCATTATCACGCTGTTTGTGTTTTCATTAATTCGTTGTTCATTCTCACATTTCAATCGGTTCATTATAAATGTACACACAGTTGTTGCTCTAGTTATTATTATTATTTTTATTTGTGTTTTATGATAATGATTATGGCTGTGGTCTAGTAATTTTCTATTTAGAAAACTCTAATTATTATATTGCCTGTTTTTTCTATTACACCTGTGATTATAATGATGGTGAAAAAAAAATATTGTGATGAGATTAAGCTTTTGCTTAATCTTCGCAACATAACGTGTTAATGATTTAGATTTCTAGGTAGATTTGAAATTTTCAATATTGTTGTGGTGGCCCTCATCACGTTATTGATGAAAAGCCCCATTCATTCAGTGCTTATGTTTTGTTTATATGATTTTTTTTATGATTAAAAAATGATTTTTTAATAACCTCAATGACAACGTTTGGGCCAAATCATCATTTTGTAATTAGCTTTTGTATTTGCAGCTATTATCAAATATTTGCACGAATTTTTCAATCGAAAACAAGAAGCTTCGATGGCTTCATTGGATAAACACTGAACAACATGGGTTTTATTTTTCACCATTTTCAAAACAACAAAACAAAGATTACAAAATTCGGATGAAAGTGAATTTTTTTCTTTTCCCGAGATTCGTGCTCACAATAAAGTTTTCCTCTGTATACTGAAACAACAAACAATGATCACATCGACAAAACAATGAGAAAAAAAAACGCTGAAATTTGACAAAATTTTTAATTTTTTTTTTGTTTCTTTTTCTTTTCAGGTTACTATTTTCGTTCTATTATTCTTCCGTGCTCGTAATTCCCAAATGATGAAAGAAGAAAGAGAAGAAAAAGAAAAGAATTATTTAATTTTAATGAGAAAATCAGAGAAGCAAGAAAAAAATATCTTTCACCAATTTCTTGATTATTGAACCAACCACCGTATACTACCACGGTATCGTCATCACTATCAAACAATCGAAATAACAATGACAATACATTCATCTCTCTCTCTCTTTATATATCGATGATTATTATTTGATCTGATTCTTCAATGAATGGCCAATTCATTTCAGCATTAGCAGCAGCATTGATTCATTCTTTTTTTTTACTGGCTAAAATATATAATATAATAACAGCAGCAGCCATATCAAAAAAAGAAAAATAATTTCCACACGACAAAGAAAAGAACCAAAAAGGAAATAAAAAATCTTTTGCTTCAATGATTTTGAATCCATTTTTTCTCTCATCGTTACCATTTCTTCTATTCTTTTCCAGAGTGGAAAAAAATGATTCAATTCAAAAGTTTTCATCGTCTTATTCATCATCATCATCATCATCATTTCATTGATTAAATAGAAAATCAATTTCAGTTATCTGAAGATATAATCTTATCCTCACTTATCCGTTCAACGGTGTGTTTGTGATTATTATCCACACTGTAAAATTATGACTGTAAAACCTAAACTGACCAAATTACACGATTTTTTCTTCTGTCCACCTACGATGATATGTCTGTATGTTTTGTGGTGAATGTGGTCATTAAAATCATCATCATCATATTTGATTTAAATCCAAAGTATCTGTGTTAATTTGGCATTTATCATCAGCCACCAAATCTTGTTGTTTCACACCATCATTGTGTTGGCGTTTATTATTCAAGAATAAAACGAATAATTTTCATTTCACATCATGATTATCCGCATCATTTTTTCTATTAAAATGAAATTATGACATCTTTACAAACAAGAGATTATGATGTGATATCATCTTCATCTTCATCATCATCATTAAAAAAACATTTTAAACTTTTTTGAATAAACAGTTTTCTCTTATTCAAAAAGTAATACATCAATCATCATAAGTCATTATCAAATCATCATCTTGTTAAAGATTCAATTAACGCAAATCAATCGATGTGTGTTTGTTTGTGTGACATTTATCAATTTATGGATCAGGAAAAAATAACGTTGGTGGTTGACATCTTTTTTTTAACCTTTGTGTAATGTGTTTTATTTTGTAACCAAAAGTGTATCTGTATTCGACGATAAGCCAAATCAACACTGCTAAGGTGAGTGGAATCAATCCTTCGTTTCTTTTTTTTTTTTTCGTTTCATTTCAATATGCAAATGAATTGCTTGCTTTTATTTCGTTTCATTTGAATGATAATAACTTTTTGAATTGAATCAATTGATTTTCAATGCTGCTTTCTCACTCATTATCAATCAATCAAACGAAAACAAAAATCAATCAATTTAAATGGGGCAAACAAATAAACAAACAGTGTACGAGAGAGAGAGAGGAGAATCTTGATATTCTCATTTAGTTACATGCATAGTTGAGTTAATTTTGTTTGATTGATACATTTGTTCATTGAAATGATTCAATAAAATGAATGTCGACAAAAAGCAACAACAACAACAACAACAACAACAAAATAGATAAATATCAATCATCCATAATCCAGAGAGAAAATGAATTTTATGAATCCATTTTTGTGTGAAAGCCATGAATGCAAATGCAAATGATTTTTTTTTTTTCATATCTCGTGGTTTTGATTGGAAAAGGATTTTTTCTGAGAATTTTTCGTTTTTGTTTGAATTTTAATTTTCAATTTTTTTAAAAGATAAATGTTTATCATCACTACCAAATATGATGATAATGATGATGACACAACTGGCCATTTAAAGGCGACGCATAAAGAAAACTTTGTTTTTTCCAATTAATATGTTACACACACACACATATAAAAAATTTAATGAAACTAGGTGACATAATGACATTTATCTCATCATAATCATTAAAAAAAAATTTTAAAATTTTGTCAATACTACACCACATTCCACAATTTTTAAGAATGATATGGCACCCAACTCGATGTTTTTTTTTGCATTTCTATTCATTTGATTGTTATGATTGTGTTGTTGATTGAGCACTTGACTTTTCACTAAATAAACTTATCGCCACAACAACAATAACAATAACAAAATTGATTAATCAAGAAAAAATATTTTCATTGGAAAAAAGAGAAACAATTGAGACACAATGACTGATGACGATGATGATGGTTTGTTTGTGTGTATGTCTACTAGATTCCATTGATTTGCTGATTGCACACACACACACTCTCATAGGTCGATAGACTGTCAATGATCGACATCTTTTTTTTATATATACGTAGGTCATCATTATTGTGTTTTTCTCTTTCTCAATCTTTTTTTATCCATACGTTATTGATCAGTAGAAAGTTGATTGTACTAGGATCCATTGTGTTTGTGCGTTTCAAAGAAAAAAACAACGTATAAACATTGTGTGCGTTTATTGATCTTGTTTATTCGGTCAGTGGCACACACGTGTTTTTCTACAGTTTGTTACACGAGCATTTTTTTGATTTCAAACATTGATTCGATTAGATTTGGTTGATTTTTTTTGTGGTCGTTGTTGTTGTATTTCTATTATATCAGATGACCAGTGGTCATCGACTTTTCAAACAATGTACGAATAGAAAATTATTGGTATTGATGCACGATTGATGATAGGAATATCTGTGTGTGTTTGTGGAGTTTGATCAATTTTGCTTGATTATATAAAAAACAATTGCCAATTGGAATTTTCTTTTTTTAAAACTTTTTGTTTGGGTTTTTTTTTTGTGTCTGTGTGTGTGCACCTTTTTCATGATTTTATTTCAATTTCAATTTTGATTGATTGATTGAAAATGAAATGAAATCCAATTGAATTGAATTGAATGTTGAAATTAATATTTACTGTTTGTTTGTGTGTGTGTGTGTATACTTGGAACGAATTGGAACTAAATGGCTAAATACAACAACAAAAAACTTTGCTAGCTGATTGATTGATTGATTGCCAACAGCTAGTTATAAGTGAATTGATAATTGTTTTTTCTCACTGTCGAAAAATTATTGTCTGTGTGTGTGTGTGATACACAATTTTGATCAAATTTTTTTTTTCTATTTACGCAAAAACATTCATAAAATCTGTATCTGAATCATCCAATCCTTTGCAAACAACATACACACATATATCCGGTTTAATTTTGAAATAATTTTTTTCTCGTTTGAAGTAATCACACACATACACACCTTTTCTTTTTTTGTTTTTTCGTTGATGAATTTTTCGTTTTTGATTGGAAACAAACTTGGATTAATGATGATAATAATCAATGATGATGATGATGATGATAATGATGATAACCATGTAGACGACAAACACATTGAACACAGGCACAACCATTCAGTGGTGAATTTGTTTTGATGATGATGATGATGATAATCGGTTATCATCATGTTGATGACCTATGAAAATCTTTCCATGACCATCTCATCATCGGATATGCAAAAAAATTTTTTCCACAAAATTCAGGATCGTCCAATTCGATTCGATTCGATTTGATTGTCCAAACAATTCAATTGTGAAATTCATTCAAACATGATTAGGATTGGCTTTAATAATCACAATCGATCAATCCCAGAAATGATTTTTTCCGTCTTATCATTTCGAATACAGAAACAGAAAATGACATTTAATACTGAGAAAAAAAAATCGATTAGTTTTTATTATTATTACGTATAGGTAAATAAGACATTGTGATAGGAAATTAATCCATGTTTAATTGAATAATTGACCAAACTGATAACTGATTGTATTGAATCATCATTGAAAAACATTTCCAATAATGGTGATTTGTTCAGTTTGTTTGAATCAATAGATGATGGTCGTCTCAAATAAATCTACTTATTGTCTTGCGATGATGATGATGATTATGATTTTGATTTGTCTTCTCTTGTCTTATATATTGTATGTAAGTGATTTATACAGAATTTATTCTTCTTCTGAAATTCATTCATGCGAATTAAACAACTTTTTGATTTCCACCAATGATCCACCACCGCTAACGCTACTTTGGTATTGGTTTTTTTTTTTCCTCATTTCAAGACGGGATTTACTTCTTCTCATTCATCCATTCATAGTGTACAGTTGAGCCGAATGAAAAAAAAATTCCAGGACCAATTAAATCTATACGGGCAATCGGTTTCGTTCATTCATTTTTGCCTTTTTTTCTCTCTCTCTCTGTTTTTTTCCACTTTCAAGATACAGATAATTTTCAAGACTTTTTTTTGTTTCCCAAAAGATAAATGTTATTGTTAATTAGCTATATTCATTTTGTTATGTGTGTGTGTGTAGTATGTTTTCGTTGCCTGTCTGTATTCATTGTATTTATTTCAGTTAGTGTTACTATATACAGAATGAAATAAAATGAACATGGAAAAAGAAAATCTGTTTTTTTTTCTGGAACCCTAAATTCTAACTGAATCACGGAAAAAAAGTTGTCGCTTTGTTTTGTATCAATTTGGCAGTGTGTTTAGTGTTGTTGTTATTGTTTATCGTCGTCAACATTGATTTGATTCTATTTCATTTTCTCATGTGTTTGTTCGACAACACCAACAACAACAACAACAAAAACAAAGCCTCAAACCAACAAAAACACAATTCTTTTTGCAAGCAATTGACAGTGTGTGTGTGTGTGTGTGGTCTGAAGTAATGATGATGATGATGATCATCAGTATGATTATCATTTAGATTCTGTTGTTTTTGTGAAACTCTCGTAAAACTATTTCAAATGATTCAATGAGAATTGGTTTGTCCGTCGATTCTGTCGTGTGTGATTGTGAATGAACGACATTGTCAATGTTTTCTTTTTTCGTGTGTGAAACAGAATCTGACATTATTGCAAGTATCGTTGTTTTGAGTGTGTGTGTGTATGTTTAGCTAAATGAGATATTAGCTTAATTAATAGCGACATTTCGATCTCGATTCTTTTTGTGTGTGTAGAGTTTGAATGTGTCATTCATTTATTCATTGATTCATTCAAAGAAAAAAGAATAAAACACTTGTGTTTCATTGTTGTTTTGGATACAAACGTAAAATCCCCAATCGATTTGAATTGAAATTGAGAGACAATCGATGGTTTGTGTGTGTATTTGTGTATAACATACTGTATTTCACACAAAAAATAGTGGAAATTGAATTGATTTTTCAAATGAAAATGAAATTCATTACAATTATGTGATTCTTTGAATGATTGAATGGCCGAAAAAAACTGAAAGAAAAACAATTCAAAAAAAATAGAAAGAAAGAATTTTTTTTACAGAATTGGCTATTTTTTCCACTGTTTGTTTATTGTACTGGACAGAATTTTCTGCCAGAATTCTAGACAATGATGCCAATTCTATGCATGCATCTTCATCATCATGGCTATTCTCGTGTGTAGTAGTCGTTAATTCATTCAAATGTACCGAAAGAAAGAAAAAAAAATTTACAAAAAACCATCATTTGTGAATCACACACACCCATTATGCTATTTCACAATTTTCGTTTGTTTTATATTATTTCACAAGTGGCCGAAATAAATGAATGAATTGAATGGAATGAAATGAAAGAAAATTAATTGATGCTTCACACACACACACACACACACACTGATGTTATAGAATTTTTTTTTTCCAGAATTTCCAGAATGAATTGAAAATGGTCCAAAACAAAAATTCCTCTTGTTATTCAGTACATTGCTCGACAAAAAAGTATTAATTTACTTTTTTTTGCATACGCGATTCGCTTCGTTTCGTTTGTTCGTTTCAAATCTGAATACGAAACGGGAAATGTGTTTGTTTTTGTGTGTTTGTGTGTGTGTATGGGTGTGTTTGACTGGTACCGCCTTGACCAACATCAACAACAACAGCACACAACAAAACACCAGCCATTTTTTTTGTTTGGTTCGTTTGAGAGAATGGGTTTAATTAATCTATTTTGTTTGATTTAATGTTCTGTTTTTTTTTTTGTTTAGAAATGCTCACGATTCTTTTGATGTTTTAGCGTTTTTTTTTGACTGCCTCCCACTTGAAACTCGGCGCCTGTAATTTTATTGAATCGTGAAAAACACGTCATCAAGAAATTCTTAGTCAAAGACAGTTTCCGACAATAAACAAAAAACAAGAAACGAAACAAAACAAAAGAATTTAGAGTTTTTTCACGGTACTATGGATTTTCAGATGT